AGGTCGAGTTCTCAATAGAGCGTACTTCTTTCAGAGGTCGAACTTTTTACAAGTTAAATATTCTATTAAATCTTCTCAGTTAGAGAAGACTTAAGGCTAAAACTATAGACGCTGCTAGACTTCAGTGTTAACTAATCTTTTAGGTGATTTGCTACTTAAGGTATGTGTCAGGCAATTCTCCTATACGACCTTTCGAATTTGCCCTGGCATACTCTGTTATTAGCTACAGCTCGAATTCCAGTAAGCATTTATGCCTGGAGTTCGATGACACTGCGCCCGAACCCACCGAGAGACATCCGCGGGTCTTTATTGGAGAGACGGCACGATCTTGAGTGGTATGAGCGGTGAATGCACTGAAGGCCGTAATAAGGTTTCATTTTCTGCGCTTGTTCTAATTTATTCTATGCTTGTTATCAATTGCTGGGTCTTACTATCATCCGCGTTTGCTTTAGAAAGACGTGTGTTTTTGCTGCTTGTCCATTTCTAAAGGTGGATGTGATAGAATGCGTAAGTCAAGTCCGCACCATTTCTTCTCTCATCTGAAGCTTCTAAAACGGAGAAGGTATGAAAGTTTGTGAAGTGGTACCCGCGCGGAGACAAGGCTCCTCTGAATTTACTCAGTGGTGTTCCAAATTGCTTTGAAGTCAGCAAATACGGAGAGAATGAGATGCATATAGGCAGGTCATGATTTGCAAACGCCAGCAGGCGGATGAGATGGATGTTAGGTGTATCCCAGGATGATGTGTAACAAACGTGCAAACGGAGGGATTCCCTCTGGGTCGGTATTCGGGCCTCGCGTTCGGAGCCGAGCTACTATGACGTAGTGTTCTGGCAGAAAAAAAGCCAGAACACTACGTCACTGGAGCGTTCTGGCAGAAAAAAAGCCAGAACACTACGTCACTGGGAGCGTTCTGGCTTTTTTCCCGCCTGACCGCTAAGGTGCGAGTGCATTCTTAGGTAATGCGCGATCCACAGCAGAGTGCACAGACAGTGAAGGGGTGCGTAGGTCTTGCTGTCCCCCGAGGTTCTGGCTGGATGCCACCGTCACTAGCTACTCTCACCATCTATTGTCACCTCCCAATGTCCACAAGCAAACAACCCCCTTGCGTGCGTCCTGGCCCCGCTGAGATGTCTTGATGCGCGTCCGTTCATAGGTTCGTCTCCCCTTCTGCGGCTTCTTGCTCTGTCCTCGAACCGCGTCCAAGCTGCAGCAACAGCGCCCCGGAAGCCCCGAATCCGAACATGCATCTTCGGCCCCACTCCTCGAGATGTCCACTCGGTCGAGTTACGCTTCTACAAGTCATGGCGGCTGCGCAGCTGGCGTTGATGAACGTCTCCTTCATTCTCTCCCCGGCATCGGCGAGATAACAATAAAGAGAATATGACGATGGGAAGGGTGAGGACGACTTCGACGACTTCGAAAAGCGCGACCTCCATGCCAACCATCAATTGCCTCGATTGGGTCCTTAATGAAGACCGCGGCGCCAGCGATGCCAACGACAACAACCATCTGACAACAGTTATCTACTCGTGGGCTAGGGATGGCGGCGACGACATCTCGCAGCACCATCGGACGTAGTTGTCTCCGAACCGATCGATCTGACGCTCATGTCGGTACCCTCGACAACCTGCGCCGGGAGATAGCGAATGCGTGCGCCGCCGCTCACGCCATTCAGCGGTGGCAGGAGCTCTCGCCAGAGACCATCGCCGGCATTAGGCATGAATGTCCGGCTGACATCGTCAAGTCCTGCGACGCTGTACACGCGGATCTCATGATGGCCACGCGGCTGATCAAGGACCTGCAGCTGCCCGTATCCTTGAAAGCTTGTGGAGGACCGTCGCCACCTCTTGGGCTGCGCTGGCAGACACTAGCGTCCCTGCGTCCCATTCCATCGCGGGAGAAGGAGACCGCAGCCGCAACGAGACTACAGACAGGATCGCTCGCGTGGTGCTCAGCGCCGTTTCGACTTTCGAAGAAGAGCCCGTCAAGTTAGCCGACCCGTCCACGCGCTTGCTGGAGTACCTCGACGCTGCCAGGCACATTGAGCAGCAGATCCCTGCCCTTCCTCACGAGGATTCGCATCCTCCCGTCCGAAGCCATGTGAGTTCCTCGTCCCTAGCGCGCTACCCCGTCCAACCCTGACATGTTCTCCTGCAGTGCCGGACACATCAAAGCCAGGCGAATGTCACACTAATTGTCGACCACCTACTTCCTCCCGCGACGCGACGACTTGCTCGAACTACTATGTGACGCTATCACACACCTCTCCCGTGCCAGCAACGAGCTTTATGCGTTCCGTGACAACACATCAAGCTTGTCGGGCGGGCAACTGGGACGGTCCCATCTCTGTCCCAGCAGGCGGGGAGCCACATCAGCTGCTCTAGTGCTATACACCTGGAGATCACAGCGCGACGCGTCCATGTGCGGCTGCATGTCGAGCACCACTTTATGACTATTACCCGCCTCCATGCCTTAGACGACGACATTTTCAAGACGACTGAGAGGTTGATTGACTTTTTGAGCAAGTTCCACCAAGGAGAGCCCGCAGTCGTCATGTCGCAGGACGGAGAGGCGGTGTGGAAGACAAGCCCTTCGACGAGCCGGAGTATGACGATGGGAGCACGCGCAAGAGGTCTTGATGGGGGATTCTAGGTGGGAAGAAGCGGCCGAGATAAGGCTGATGGGGTCGAGATGACGCGACATCCCACATGGCTTCCAGTACTATAGCTGCCCAGTAGGTTAATTGCCGGTAAAATTTGATTACCAACAGCTCAATACCTGCACAAGTCCTGGCGCGAAGCTGTGCCGCGATCATTCATGCCCATGAAATTACAGAAGCTCCTATTCTAAAACGAGACTACCACAGGACACCACTACAGCGTAAAGCCGACCGGCGAGTCAACCCCAGCAGGACATAGTCAACACGAGCACGATCCCGTCTCCCATCTTCAAGGGACGCACCAATCGCCACAATAACAAGGACCAACCCCAGGGACATGGAGAACGCGAGAGACCCAGCCGTCCCCCATCCCTACTCGTCACCAAACATTACCACGGAGAGCTCGTCAAGTCAATCCATCTCCTCATCCCGCTCGTGCTCCTGTCGGCAGCTGTACCCCAGCAGCAGATCATGGTATGGTGTGCGCGCCGGGGACGCTTGGTAACCGCAGCCCGGTGCCGGAGATATGGACAGGAGCGAGTCCTCCAAGGACGGCGGGCCCTCTGAGACCCGAGGCAAGACCGTCAGTCGACGAGCCGGATGCATGCGCGGCGTTTGGGCGCTCGCCGCGGAAGCCCATCGATGCTGATCGAATGCTGGCGAGGCTGTCGGGAACGCTCGGTCACTGTGACTCGGCGCCGGAGACTTGGACACAAACGAGGCCGACGCCTCCGAAAGTTCATCCCACTGTCCAAAGTCGACCTGAAAAAAAGCCGCTGACAGCTGAGCACCGGATCCTGCGACTGCTGTGACTGTGGCTCTGCGTCGCGTGTCTCCGGCTCGGCCCATGGATTGCGCGCCGGGCCGTCGACGTGGAGGCCGTGGACGAACGACGCATCCGGCGTGACGAGCGGTCGTCGATGCTGCGAGGAGTTATGCGCTGGGGGGTCGCCGACCGAGGCGCTTGCGGGCGCAAGGGGAGCTGCGCGGAAGCTTTGTCGGTCAGCCATGCCCGATTGCCGGTCGGAAAGGAGAGGGGGATCGAGGACGTACCGAGACTGCATCCCGCCCGTCGACGCGAAGATTTGGTCTAGGACAAGGTCGGTCGGAGCCGCTGCGTGAGTGTCTGGGGGATCTAGGTCCTCAGTATCCGGGCCCCCCATGAAACGCGCGAGGCCGGTCGGGAGATGGCTGCTGAGGCCCGAAGTCCGGCGATGGCGCGCGGCGCTGGCGGAGGACGCAGTGCCCTCGCTGTGCTTCTCCCAGAGGTTCTTCATCCCGCATTGCCCCCTAAGCTAGACGGCAAACGCATATGGCTCCCACGGCGACACCTCACGGGTTCAGCGCCGGTCAACAATGAGGCTGTTGCGGACGATCAGTTGGAGCATGGACTGTATCATGTCCTTGAAACGTTTGTATATCGCGTGTACGAAGGTTGGGCCTTGGCCGAGGAAGCAGTCTCGAAGGAGGCGAGAGAAGACATTGTTGGGCTCGTGATGGGGCTGCTCCAAGAGAGCGGTAGGGATGTCGAGGCAGGCCAGGCCGCTGAGGACGGCGGCCTTTGTGTCGACGTAGAAAAGGATGCCCCGGCGCTTCTCCTTGGAGCGAGTGAATTCCTCAATGGGAAGCTGGCAATCAGCCTGCTGGGATGTTTGTTAACCACCTGCGATGTTGGTGATGCGGAAGGGATGCTTCACTGTCGACAAGTTTAGTAAACATCTGATGGCGCACCGCGAGATTGTCTTTTGTCGCAGAGAAGAAGTTTGGGAAAACCGAGATGAAGAACTGAGACGAAGAACCGAGACGAAGCGGGGGACCGTGACGAGACGGCGAGACGGCGAATAAGGAGCAAGACTTGTCAAACTACGTCCTTTACGACGGACGAGATTGCTGAGCAGCCGATATGGTCCTTCAGCATTTCCTGCGGCGATTCCCACTGTCGAGCGAATCTTCGACCGTTCAAAGGCGAAGCCAGGAAGACGGCGAACGCCTCTGAGACATCAAATAGAGAATGGGACGGCATCAGGGCGAAGATGATTCTGCCGCGAAGTCGGTGGACGGGAAGGTCTCACTCTCCGAGACCACCAGCACGTCCGGCCCGCTGAAGAAGTGTTGTCACCACGGATGCCCCCTTCCAGAGTCGTGTCACGTGTCGACACCAGCCTCCAATCCGACCTTTCTTTCCCTTTCACGTCGTGATCAGATGGTAGCCATAGGTACACCTACACAGCGACCACCTACATATCACTTGCTTTGAGAGCCTTCTAGCCAAAATAAGCCAGCCCACATGAGGGACACATCAACTAAATTGTGCGTCACCACAAACCTCCTTTACGTATCCTAGGCCTTGCCCAGGAGCCGGAGTAAATCGCCGACACTGATTCTCTTAGAGACGGTGACCAGCATCTCCCTCACTATTGCGTTCAGCGCGGGATGTTGAAGGCCATCAGAGCTCCGCGATGCATGCTCTACCTTCTCCAGCCATTGGAACATCATGTCCCAAGCCGCGTTTCCTGCCCCCCCTTTCCGTACATCCGCAATCACCCAGTTCAGACCGCGCTGCCGATCCGGCAGAGGAATTTTCCCGAGGACAAACAGCATCACAACCCCCAAGGCGAAGACGTCGCCCGGAGCTCCCCTCCTTCCATGCAAAGCATACTCAGGCGGGATATACCACGGGGAGCCACCGACGTGCACGGCAGTGTCCTTCAACTCGGATGAGAGGCCAAAGTCGATGAGAACAGCACCACGACTGGGTTTGAAGAGAATGTTCGCCGGCTTGATGTCGTTGTGCACTATGCCCTGACCGTGGACGTAGGCGACTGCGGCGGACATGTCGCCCAGTATCTGCGTGGCTTCGTCCACATTCAAGGTGCAGCTTCCGCATTGCGAGCGATAAGAGGCCAGATTCGGCGCCTCGACATGCTCTATGTACAGGGATAGAAACCTGGCGTCGGCACAGTGGAGGCGTATGATGGCTACCTACGTACCAAAGTTACCAATCTACTCACTCCTCACGTTGTCAATGGGGAAATCCACGAGGCACCCCGCTCACTCACGTGCTCGGACAGCTTGGAATGGTTCTTGAACTCCTTCAGCCACATCTCTGATGTGCGGGCGATTTTGGAGGCGGACTCGTCCGGCACGCCTGGTGTCACAGGGTGTGATGGTGTCCGCAGCACCTTCACGACAGTCGGGCCAGGAATGCGTGTGTGTTCCGCTTTGAAGACCAGCGAGTTCTTTGCGAACATAATCTTTTCGCCGTACGTTATAGCATAGTCGCCTTGGCTGCTGGTTATTTTGGCTCTCGCGCCTGGCCGGAGATGCTCCAGAGGATGACCGACATTAGTGGTGACCTGTTGCGATTCCCGTGTTGCTCGTGGCATTGCAGCAGAGCCTGTATCGTCGGGGATGGGGACTGACTCGAAGAGAACGGCGGCGGCGCTGGCCTGAGGCCGAGGTTCCCGCCCATCTACCGTCACCTTCTTTACTGGAATTTCTGGCTGGGATGCCTCCAGTGCTCTTTTCATATTTCGTCGACCCTGAGTCTCTGTTGCGTTCTCTGTGATGGCGAAGCACTCGCGCGGATAGATAGAAAGTCCTATGATCTGCAGGTCTTCTCCTTGTGTAAAAACACCCCATGCTCCAGGGTCCAGGAAACAAGGTGTGCTCGGTAGGATGTCGACCATCATTCTTTCAACGGCCGAATTTTCGTCATCCTCCGCAAGCCTTCGCAGCGTGATAGAGTCTCTTTGCTGGTTAACGAATACCATGCGGTCTCCACTAGGATCGCAATACACGCCAAGGTCAAGCGCTTCACCAACGGTCATCATACGGGGGTTGTCGGGCCGTTTAGAGGCAGAGTCGGCCATGATATGAAAGCCCATCTCGTGCTCTGACTGCGTAATCGCGAGGGTGCTGACCGCCGGCCCGCCGGGCTCCGAGTCTGCGGTGGCGTCAAGGCGGACGGATCTTCGAAGAACGGCACTGGAGCTGCTCCGAGGAGTAACCTTGACGTGCAAAGGCCTTTCTGGACAAGCATGGAGCACGATTCTGATGTGTGCCTGCTGGTGAGGGTCATGCGGAGTGTTGTCGTCCAGATTTTGCGCCACGGATCCGAGACGCTTAACGATCTCGGCCGACGTGAACGCATTGGTATCCCCCGAGGAAACCGGATGAGAATGTGAACCTGCATTGCCCTGTGCCCTGAGCAGGCCTTGGGCAAGCTCGCTCGAGGTGAACGGATTCGTAGTCGTGTCTGAGAGCGGGGGTTCCTCGTGCGGTTCATCCATGGTGTTATATTCAGCGTTCAGCGTTCTTTCATGCAGCCCGTGAGCCGGATGGCATAGCTGTGGAGACAAGAAAGTGGTCACCTCAGTTAGGCGTGAGGGGGGATGCAGGGATTTTTATTCCTCATTCAGCATGCGGAGTAGGATGAGGAGATGTCTTGACTTTTCATTCGTAAATACACATTTCCAGGGCACTCATTGATATTTCTAGATGGGAACTTTTTAATTCGTGAGGCAACATCTAGGACTAGCGGTGACCGCAGCGAGGTACCATCCATAATTCCGTCTAATAATAAGGTGGATGACAGTAAGAGGGCATAGGTGCATGTACCGCTTTATCATGTACCCATATGCAATCTAGTCATGCGATAGCTGCATACTATCTTAGTAGAATAATGGTCCGAGCTTGGGACCTTGTCGGCCAGCTGAATCAAGCCCGGACTAATGCTGCCGCGTCCTCCGGGGTGGGACCAAATGTTCCATCCAATTGGCTGCATGAACTCGGGCTCGGCGGCTAGCTTTCGTACCCTTGCGATGCTTGACGTGAGCCTCGACTCCAACAGCATTCAGCACCGAGCCTCGACATCGCATCGCTGAAATGAATGCGTCGCTCCCGAACCCCGACTACGCGACCGAGACCGATTTTCGGTGGCCTTGGTGGAAGTTCCGTCTTCCTCCCGATGCGCTCTTTACTTCGCTACACAACCGCTTCAACACCCGGCCGACCGCCATCCAAGACCCCAGCGCATTCCATCGCGATGTCGTCAGCTGCGCCGACGAGTCAGCCACCGCCGAGGAGTTCTACGATAACCTCTCCGCGCGCAGAGACCAGAGAATAAGAGAGATCAGTGACGCATGGGAGGAAACCAGCTGTCTGCTTGGAGGAACGCCGGCCCTGTGGTCGCACTGCTGCGCAGCGGGCGACGAGCACGACGGCGACGCGGGAAAGGACTGCCCAGCCCATCGATGGAGAGCGTTTGTGCAGTTCTGCAGAAGCATGTCGTTTGATCGCATGGTCATGTTCTTCGACGAGTATGCCAGCGACGAGCGCAAACGCCAGCAGACGGAAAGAGAAGAGGCCCGGAAAACCCTGGAAAGGTTGTGCCCTCTTCCGCCGTGCACTTCCATGGAGGGCGATAACGCGAAGGATTCAAACCCTCTCCTCGACTCAGTGTCAGATTCCGAGCCACACACCGCGGCAGAAGCCAACACAAGCGTCGTGGACGCCACGAACTTGGATCACCATCCAGATGTGGGGTCAACAGACCTGCCGTCGCCGCGATCCGTGTCGTCAAGTCCAGTTAACACCCAGAAGACGAGGAAACGGGGGAGAGGCAACGTGTACGCAGGTCACGAGGACGAAGACCAATTGGAAGGATATTCGGCGAGGCGTCCGAAAAGAAGACGGGGACTTGCGGGCACGGTGGACGAGGCGCAGAGCAGCAGTGCCATGGGAACCAAGCCTGATTCTGTTGGCACCGGTACGCCAAAGCGCTACAGCTCGGGCCCCAGGGTCTTCTTACCCGTTTCCCCCGAATCCAGCCACGACGAAACTGGACCTCAGCCGCCCAAACACGCCGACCGATCCTTGCTGCCACCAGCGTCTTCGTCTACGTCTCGTGAGAGGAAGAGTGTCGTGGACCAACGGCTGACTACCGCGTCAACGTCAACTCGCAGCCAACAGCAGCGGCATGATCCCGCTAGGGAGACTTGAGACCGTTCATGAGCTGAGGCGCAACAGCTCCGAATAGCTCCCAAGTCTTCAAAACCAGCCCAACCCGCTTTCAGCCTTCACCCCACTATCCTAATGCCGTCAACTACTGCCCTTTGTTTGCGACCTGGGCGCTGGCCACGATCGACCGCAGGCTGCTCCAACTCGCCCTCGAGGTCGGCTTCCATGACTACTAGGAGACCAAGGTGAAGACCCGTAACGAGGCATTGTGCAGGAACCGCGCCGCAGTCTACCTGACCACCCGACCACCTCGATCTCTATCTCTGGTTCAGACCGCTTGTCATCGCGTCGCACCAGTCTTGGAAAGAGTTTACGAACGCCCTGAAAAAGTGTCAGTTCTTTTCTCGTCTCGCCCCCGTCATTGTTGGGCGCTCCCTCTCTTGTTTTGACCACAGTCTCTCGTTCTCGATTGCTCCTTCCTTGTTTTGCACGCGCGTACTGACAGTCGCAGTGGACTCCGCCGGTACCCCGGCCATGCAGCCAGCCAAGATTGCCAACAAAAACCCCGATCCATGCGCCTCCTCAGCCTAGTAAGCCGACCGACCGAACTCGAGGCCCAGCAGGTCAACAAAACCGAATCCAAGCGTCGGCGCCTCCCCAGCTCAATGAACCGACGGAGAAAACCCAAGCCCAAGCCCGTGTCTGACGAACTGCGATTCCTACGTCGACCAGATTTCAGCCACTGGAGCTGACCACCCGAACATGGGGTCAAGCACCAAGCACATCTCCGACGAGTGCGAATACCATCGTTGCTCCCTCAGACAAACAAGCCGGGCGACTGAATCGTTACCAAGGATGTCTTCGATGAACAACCCGTTGGCGGCCTCACAGAAGAAGGCACCGCAACTTCCCCGGCACCTGATGTTGGCTTTCGAAACAGACCAAACCGGATGTTTGATTAAGAATACTTCCTTGGGTGCTGGGGCGCTGGACATGACGCAATCCGGGGCATCACCAGAGTACGAGGATGTCTGCCCACGGACAGACAGTCCTGGTTACCATGCCTCCTACAGTCCCTTGGGAGGGGATGATGACAGCGCTGTCGATTTAAGAAGCGAACATTTGACACCTATGAAACGCACCCCGTTGTTGATTCTGGATGAGCTGCATCCGGAGCGATTCATTTTCATCAAGACAACAGTCCACGACCAGCACGAGTGTGCTGTCGCATCCCACAGGCCAACGAACCATGCGACTGCAAAACTGCGCGTTAAAGGAGTAGCAGGCTGCTCTGCCAGAGGCCTGGAGGAGATTGCCAACATTGAGATGCCTGGCCCAGCAACACCTAGCTGGCGCGTTGGAGGGCCTTGTCTCAGCACGCCTGGAACGTCCAGTGCTGGGTGGCGGCCGGTCGGGAACCTTTCGCAAAGAATAATCACGTCTCTCAAACAATAGCAAACGTCACGAAGAGACCCGTCGTTTGCTCCCGCAGCAACCCAAAACAACATGGCCACTGTATTCCACCCTCAGTTCCCTCAAAATATGCCGGCCGCCGTGGCACTGTGGTCTTGCATCCTCCTACAGCAGCAGATGCCTCCTGACTTGCTAGACCCTGCGTTCCGTCTAAATGAGACTTGATCGAGATGTCTCCGATACGCTCGAATCCGCGAGCCCCCC